ATATTATATAGATGACTATACTTGTAATCTTATTGGTTGATCATGGTTTTGTCCCACCTCATGTCCACTTTATGATTTCCCATTAATATTACCTAAGTGACTGTTCTTGTGATCTTACTAGTTGACTATAGTTTTTTCCCACCTGAACGCACCTCACTTCCTGGCTTTGTTCCATGAAATACCTTTGAGGAGCAGGATCATTTGGCTAACCCACTTTCCCGTCCCCTTCTGTCTGTCTTAGACAGAAGCTATCTTTCTCTTAACAAATTTTTCCTACTCTTAACCGCCATTGTTTCTGGAATTCATTCTTCAATTTTAAAGACTACAAATTCGCATTTCAGGTATCTAGCTGGTTGAGGACTTACATCTATTCCTCCTATATCACTACTTTTATATCCATTTAGAAATCTTTAGAGAAATACTGATGAATTCTCAATCTTCATTCTCTTCCTGTACTACCTCAAATTGTTGCCACAACTGACATGACCATAACAGTTTTCTGTCACAGTTCCTGACCATGGCATGACACATGAATGAAACAAAGAACTAGAGTCAGTGTCCCTTCCAAACCCTGAGAGGGTCCAGTTGGGGCTGCCATTAACCAAGACCCCTCAGTATGAGAAATTCTCGAACAACAGCCCCAAACTGATTCACTGATAAGAATCAGGAAGCAAGAATAAAAGAAAAAGGAAGGGCATCTACTCATATAAGGAATAGGGGAAGTACAGCATAAGATCATGGTGGTCTGTTTAAGACTGACATAGAGACATTTATCATTTAGATTGCTACATGATTAATCCAAACTTGGGGAGGACAAAGGCCAGAACATTCATTCCTTAAGGCAATGTTGATCTTACCTGGACTTGTGGCCCTCTGCTGGCTCTCTTTTAATCTCTAACCATGCATTCCAGGGGGTTTAGAGAATGTGGCTCCAAAACACCCTTACCTCTGCATATCCATCTCATACATACTTCTGGCCAACACCCCACACAGTTTTCAAAGCTCTGCACTATTTTAATCAATCCTTATGTTGACTGATAATGTGTCAGACTCTTTCCTAAATAGATCTACTTAAAGTATTTTGATCTATTGTGATCAGCACAATTAGAGTCAGGAAAATCACCTATGAATAGCCAACTAGATAAGGAGGCAAACTTTCCAGGACAGAATATGAGGAACTTGTGTTTTGTTTTCTGGGTTGGTTAGAGATAGCCAAGTCCCCAGCTTCGCTTAGATCACGTTCAAACTCACGCAGTCACCTAGGCAATCTCTAGGCAAGCCCCTGAGTACCTGATTATTGTACATGAGAACATGCTTTCCCTCGTCATTCTATTACTATTTAATATTACATAGTTCTGATAATGAGTAAAAAGTTTAGCAAGCAAAGCTTATTAGACATAAGATACTGCATCAGGAAATGCAGAATTTTGTACAAGAGCCTGAGTCTGCTCAGCCTTTTCCCCCCATTTGCCATCGCCTAAGAGGTGACCCTTAAGAGACCACAGGAAGAGATCTTGAGTATCTGTAAACTTCACTACCAAGTGTGATTTGTATTCAGCTCCCACCACCACCACAGTCCCAGGAAAATCTTGTTTGTTACAGTTTCCTAGAACATGATGTGGCATAAAGTAGGCATAAATAAATAATTCCTCGCGGAAAGAGTCATCTAATACACAATTGGTAGGCTTTGTGATATCAGTAAACAGGATTTCAAACCCACTTATCAGTTCAACAAAGAGCTTTCGCTATAATCAATTCTACCTGCAGAGAACACAGCAACAAACACACATTAATATCTCTTCCCCAGCAGAGTATAAAATCTATTGCACTACCGGGAACGGTGCGTGGGCGGGAGGCGGGGAAAAGCAACGTCAGCAGCCGCGACGCCATTTGCTGCTGACGAGCGTGGGCGCCGGCGG